CAACCAATGGCCGAAAGGTGGTGAATTTTGAGGATTTTGAGCTACCACCTTTGGACCACAACATGTCCAACCTTCGACCACCTTGGCAGCTGGATCAACATACCACCTTGAAGCCCTCATTTCACTCTTTTCAACTCACCCAACCAATGGCCAAAAATCCATTAGATCTACCTGAAATTTTTAGTCAAAGAAGGTTGCCGACGCAACCAAAAAAGCCGAAAATGCAGCCTGCCCACCCAACCAAAAACGACCATAAATGCAACTTTCGATGACACCCACCCTCTAGCTTGACCATGATCATCATTACACATCCAAAGATGCTATTATAACAACAAACAATTCAAAAAATCAAGATCTCCAGCCCTTTTTTGCAATAGCGAACTCGGACCATTCAGCCCCAATTTTCGACGCCACGACACTTTCCACGGTCGCAGACTACCACTCCTAGGATCGCCTCTTCATGGCACATCCAATGAATCTATGGGTCATCGCCAATTTCAAACCAACATGGCTGAATTGAAAAAATTGGTCCCAATTTCGATCCACCATGGCCAATGACCACGCATAGATCTACCTCCTTCAATTCCTTCTCCCCACATCATCGAATCACAAAATTGGTCCCAATCGAGTCTCCAGCAGCATCATATGACCATGGGTAACAGTTCAATTGCACCAATTAATCCATTTCAAGTTGGTGATGTCGTTGTTCAATTGCCCCACGTTTCAGATTTTTCATAACAGTTCAATTGCTCTTGAGGTCCTCAAATATTGTATAGTCTCCTGATTGGGTCCTTAAGTTTGAATTCCAATCATTTTGGTAGCTTCAGTGACCATCTGTGAAAGTTTTTAAACTTAAGTAACCATTAGTGAAAGTCCAGAACTTCAGTGACCATTGTTGAAAATTTTAAACTTCAGTGACCATTTTATATTTTTTTAGTAACTTCAGTGACCGTTTATGAAATTAACCCGATAATTAATAATTCTGTTGTATTTGGCGATGGTGTGTAAGCGCATTTTGACGGGTCAAAATTTGCTCTAATAAAACCTGAATGCGATGAATCCAAAATTCATCAATCTCACTCACCACCATTCTGTGTTTTCTACGGCGGTGCGTGTATTCTACGAGACGGAAATATGGGCCAAGTACCCTCCATCGACCAGGGTTATTCTCCCGACAGTTCAACGCATTTGCGTAATCCAAGCCTTGCCCCTCACCACCATCGCTACACCGTAAATGATTTGAACCTAAATTCACAGGAGCCGGAGGATATTTTTCTGAATCAACAACAAGATTATACTTCTGAGATTCCTGATGAATGTTTAGCTTTGATCTTTCAATCTTTAAGCTCTTCCGACAGGAAGCAGTGTTCTTTGGTCTGTCGACGGTGGCTTGTGGTGGAGGGCCAGAGCCGCCACCGCCTCGCCCTTAACGCGACCGATGAGGTCAACTCGCACCTCCCTGCTATCTTCTCCCGGTTCGATTCCGTCATGAAGCTAGCTCTTCGCTGTGACCGTAAATCCGTTAGTATAAATGATGAAGCTTTGACCTTGATCTCTAGGCGGTGCCAGAATCTCACCCGCCTCAAGCTCCGTGGCTGTCGCGAAATCTCAGATGAAGGAATGTGTGCTTTGGGAAAGAATTGCAAATCCCTCCGCAAATTCTCTTGTGGATCATGCTTGTTTGGAGCTAACGGCATGAATGCCCTTTTAAACAATTGCTCATCCTTGGAAGAACTTTCCGTTAAGCGTCTACGGAGTATCAATGATGTCTTTGCAGCTGAGCCGATTGGCCCTGGAGCCGCAGCTTCCTCGCTTAAGTCAATTACGCTTAAGGAGCTTTATAGCGGACAGTTTGGGCCCTTGATTATTGGGTCCAAAAACTTGAAAACTTTGAAGATTATCAGGTGTTCGGGGAACTGGGATAGGTTGTTGGAGACTATCGCAGGTAGAAGGAATTGTTTGACAGAGATTCATTTGGAGAGGCTGCAGGTGACTGATATTGGGCTAATGGCGATATCCAAGTCCCCGGACTTGGAGATCTTTCACTTGGTGAAGGTTCCAGATTGCTCGAATGAGGGGATTTGTGCAGTAGCTGAGAATTGCAAGCTTTTGAGGAAGCTCCATATTGATGGGTGGAGGACTAATAGGATAGGCGATGAGGGGTTGATTGCTATAGCGAAGAATAGTGTGAATCTCGTGGAATTGGTTCTTATTGGTGTCAACCCGAGTTCTGTAAGTTTGATGGCAATAGCCACAAATTGTCAGAAGCTGGAAAGGTTGGCACTTTGTGGGAGTGACACAATTGGGGATCCTGAGATTTCATGTATCGCGGCAAAATGTATGGCCTTGAAAAAGCTTTGCATAAAGGGTTGTCGCTTGACAGATTCAGGGATTGAATCATTCGCATTTGGGTGCCCCAATTTGGTGAAGATAAAGGTTAAGAAGTGTAGGGGAGTTACGAGTGAAGTTGCGGATTGGTTGAGGGCAAGGAGGGTGTCACTGGCTGTGAATTTGGATGTAGATGAGATTGAACCGGAGGCCATGGACGTGAGTGCCAGTGATGAAGGAGCGCAGGATGATGGTGTGGAATATCCGTCAATTGTGAGTGGAACTGTAATTGGTGGTGGTGGAAATGTTAATGCTGCTGCTGCTCCATCAACTAGTAATGGAGGTCGATCCTCTTATAAGTCAAGATTTAGCCTTTTTGCTGGAAGGACTTTCGTTGCATGTGCTTTTCGGAGGTTATCAAATGGTAACGATAGTTCAAATGATAGCTTATAGAGGAACTCGATGAGAGAGAGAGATAAATCATTGTCAAGTTTTCATTCTTGTTTGTATTGGACCATAGTCCACAGTATTGTTGCAATTGATATATGTGTTTCCTTTGTTGTATCTCGAGCTTATTTGCTGTGATTGTATTTGTTACCTGCCAGTCGACTTGAGGTCCTTTTTCCATGACATATACACGATGATTGAGTTGTTTGCCTGTTGAATAGCTTGATTATATTTCATGCCGTATGCAAGATATGGCGGAGGAATAGTTTAGTTAACCACAACTTTGTAGGATTGCATTGATATTTCTTATTCCAGTGTTTTCTGTATTATACATAATTTGTCAAAGATAGGGATTCGGCAAATAACTACATGCATCAGATGCCTTTGAAAATGGTAGCGTGTAATTTTTGGTATCATAATGGAAGCTGTGAGCCACTTCGATTGTTGGAAGGTAATGCAAATTTCGTGCTAGGACCTCTGAGACATGCTTGTGGTGTAGCATAGCGGCTTTATTCAGCATTGTTGCATATGATTAACTGCATTTTTTGGGCAAATGACCTACTGAATTTCTGCTACTTGCGGTGTATTTTGCTATATTTGTCACATAATCATTTTGTGAAATTTCTTGCATGACATCAAAGCATACGTGCAGAATTTGGTCTGGAAGACCAATTCAATAGCTAGGAAGTTGGTTCCTCTTATCTTTGCGCGTTTTATGCTTTTAGTCTGCCTTCTTTTACCTGGCTGGAATTGAGAAAATCACATACTAATTTCCTAAAGCTTTTATTCGTATGCGATAACACGTGTATGACTTTTGGAACGTCTAGCACGTTGATTTTGGTACACTGTGATTTGACTTTGAACTAGTCTTTTAGTAATCTCTGGTTTGCTTTGAATTGGTTCATTCACATCTCCGTTAATACGCCATTTGATTATTGCATCAGCCATATTAATCATACATTTCATAGAATTTACAAGTACTTTCATTTTATCCACCAATGACTTCTTGGAAAGTTAAATTCAAGTAAAAGAAAACAAAACCTGAACAAAACAATTCCAACACGAACCCAATTAGATCAATTCAATTGTCCGATTCAACGCATCGTTGTCTGCACACTCGGCTATGAGTGTAAAATGTGAATAGTAGTAATTCTATGCGTAAGCAATGTTTATCCATCATGGGTCTAAGAGGAAGTAAGATAATCATTAAATTCATTTATACATTTGGGATGTATTTTCATACTAATTCATTAGAGAATGTGATATTGCCACAATGTTGTTGAGTAAGCACTGCTTGTAACTAACATTATACTTTGAAAAGGAAGAATTGACAATATTTGGCATTTGGTATTGGATGGGTTATGCATGTAACGAAAGAGCAGCCCAAATAAACATGATCAAATTAAGCTGGGTTTGTTATCAAAATGTAAAACGCCAATTCATCTAAAACAAAAATAAGCTCTCTCCGATGCAAGAACCCTACACAAGTGGTTAGAGGTGGGCATAGTTTGATTCGATCAATTCGAGAGAGAACTAGAGAAGACAATCAAGTCCATTTCCGAGCAAGCCCCCTATAGAAAGAGTGCTTTATAGAAAGGAAAAATCACTCTCGAAATGTCATAAATGATGGGGGCTTTCTTACTTCAGCATTAAGGAATTCATCATTTGAAGTAGTGACCGATTTAGTGCTAGGGGCAGTGCGGTCAGTTGCCCCTACACTAAATTTGAAATTTCAATTTTTTTCCAAGATATTTTTCAAAATTTTCAAAAAATTCCTTATAGTTCTCAATTTTTGCCCCCACAATTAAAATTTTGTAAAAGTCAACTACACAATTCTTTAATCCTAGCTCCATCCCTTAGTCAAAGGAAGTAGACTAATAAAAAATTTCACATTTCTTTTATATTGTAATTAAATAGGAACGGGTGTTTTTATTCCTCAAGAAATCTAGATAATGAAAATACGTCAAATTTATTGAACGCTTTCGATATCTTAATATAATAAGACAAATTTGACAAAGTCGTGCAAGGGAAAATTGAGAATCAATATAACCTAGTATGAGGCGTGCATTTTTCTTGTGAAAACAACCCAAGGATTTCAAAAAGTGCCTTCTCCCGGGGATTTTGATAATAATTAGAATCCATTCCCTTAGGGCCATCAGAAGAAAAACATTTTGCAGTTGAATTACCATATAATTGAGCTCCCCCTGGTTAGCTTCAGCTAAGAAGAAAAATGGACACAAAATGGTCCAGAGGCACCAAATGGATCTAATCATTGTTTATTCACTCTCATAATCTTCATTATCTCCAAAATCGAAAACAGAAGCATCTGCAGCAATAGCCTTAATAACATTGGAGTCCAGGTTCGGAATAGAAAAGCATTAGAGTGTGAATTTGCGGGTTCTTCGTTTCCCAGAGCGAGCTGCTCAGTCTGATTTGTCGTGGAAGACATTCTCTCGACCGAGTTACCAGAGTTGGGATATGATGCATTTTTTGCAGCAGAGGACGTGTGATCCATGGTGCTTCTTGAAGAACTTTCCTCACCTTCACTGTCAGAAAACTCATCATCTTGATTGTTTTGTTTCCCAGAGGCATCACTCTGTTCAGAATTAGCTCTGTTTTCATTACTCAAGGAAGGAGCATTCTCAATCTTCCATCAGGACCCTTCTTGTCCTGAGCAATTTTGACCTTTGACGATATGGTACCATCATAATCTATCATCAAGATTTCAACCTGAAACCCTGGAGATGGCAATTTTCTCTGCTAAGTACAGTTGTTAAGCCATTAAGTGAGAACGAAACAAAGAAGGAAATGAAAACAAAATACTAAACCACTAGAAAAGGGAAAAAACTGTTCTATCAATGGGGACTGAATTTGTAAATATGGAATTGTCAAGCCAAGTTGATGCGGACATCCATTTACTATTTATTTTCTTTTATTTACTATTTATTTTCTATTTGGACTATTAGTTATATTCTATTTGAATTATTATTTATATTTCTTTTATTGGGCTTGTTTAGCGGGTTTGGCCCAAACCCCTCTCTTTAGGGTTTTTGTTTTGTTATTTATTTCTGTTTTGTTGCGTATTTGAGACAGTTGATGAATTAAAGAATAGAATGCTTGGGTTGTAACCTATTGCTTTCTCCTTCTCTCCTTTCCCATGATTTCTACTTCTTTTCTGGTTTTCTCCCCCTTTTCTCTCCGGCCCTTTACCCCTTCATGCTGCCTTCTTCTTCTTCTCGTTGGAATTCTACTTGCTAGTTGTGCTATTTTGCTATTTCTAATTATTCTGCAGGAATCATCCCTCATCCTGCATCAAAGTTAAAGAGCTTGATGATATTATACCCCTTATCTCTGACAATTCTCGATCACATGTTATATATCATACCCTTACCCAAGTTAAAGAGCTTGATGATGTCACCAGTCACCCTTGAAAAATCCAGTCGCCTGTGGTTAACACTAAAGCAAAATTATTCACCACTGACCAACCTCAAATTGATGGTCAAAACAAAAGTGCTAATCAAAATCCTGACAATTTATTACAGTCTCTAGTCCGGAAAAATCTTAGGAATTGGAACTTGATCCCTCCAACTGTTCAAATTGCATATAACGATCCTGTGAACTGGTCTTTAGGTCTAAACCCCTTTGAAATTATTTTTGGTTGTGAACCTTTGAAACCTCTAGACCTTATTCCCATGCACCCACATGCTTGTGTGTCTATGTCAGTTGAGGTAGTTGTATCACATTTTCATAGCTTGCATATTGAGATCAGTGGATAATTTGAAGCAAGTAAAGATTATATAAACCTCAAGTTGATTGGCATAAACAACACTTTGAATTTAATATTGGGGATTATGTTATATTGCAAGCGTGTAATGCTGGTCGTTTTAAAATTTCAAAGCATGTTGGTCAAAATGCCTATGTCAATGACCTTTTATCACATTATGACCACCACCCTATGTTATTTGTTACGGACTTCGATGCCTACAACAGCTATTTTAGCCCCTCTGATAACTCGTTTCTACTCTCACATGAGAATTCCCACACTGAATCTTTTGCCATGTCTGCTTCAATCCCATCTATCACAGCACACAAAAATAAAATTGATGTTATTTTGGATGAACAGCTTGTGTTGACCAATGATTGAGAGATTTAGTGCTTTCTTGTTCGTTGGATGGATCGTCTTGATTCTGACGGTACATGGATTCCCAAAGAGAAACTTCAGCGGCGGGAGCCAAATTCATTGGAGCTTTATAAGAGTCGGCAAAATTCTCATTCGCCTAAGTTATCTTGGTCAGCTCATGTTTTTGCGAGTAATTTGCAATTGGCGTCGTCATCATTTGTGGAATTTCGATATTTGGTTCGTCAGAAAGATCGTCCCCCATGGCATGACTTGGAGCCTTTAGCATCAGATTCATTACAACATTTTGATTTATCCACTCGACGGGGTCGAGTTTTTCTCTCACCCCGGGAGAATTAATGCGGACATCCATTTACTATTTATTTTCTTTCATTTACTATTTATTTTCTATTTGAATTATTAGTTATATTCTATTTGGATGATTATTTATATTTCTGTTATTGGGCTTGTTTAACAGGTTTGGCCCAAGCCCTTCTCTTTAGGGTTTTTGTTTTATTATTTATTTCTATTTTGTTGCGTATTTGAGACAGTTGATGAATTAAAGAATAGAATGCTTGGGTTGTTGCCTATGGCTTCCTCCTTCTCCCCTTTCCTTTGATTTCTACTTCTTCTCTGGTTTTCTCCCCCCTTTCTCTCCGGCCCTTTCCCTCTTCGTGCTACCTTCTTTTTCTCGCTGGAATTCTACTTGCTAGTTGTACTATTTTGCTATTTCTAATTATTCTGTAGGAATCATCCCTCATCCTGCATCACAAGTGATGCAGATTCTTAGAAACAACGGACATTTGGCCAAGGAGCTTTTTACCTTATCAAAGCCACCAAGGTCGGTCCCATCTAAAATTATTCTGTTTTCCATCATTGTTGTGTTTAACCAGGAGAAAAGAGAAATGTTGAATGATTATGTTAAAAGTTAAATCAATACTGTAACTAATAGAGAAGAAATATAACAAAAACAAGATGTGGCACTCAGTGATCCAAAATAGTACGGTCTATTGCAATATAATGAAGGACGATGGTGATTAAAGACTAGATGCATTTGTAGCCACTACATCCACAGGAAGATCTTACGTGATAAATCATTTACAACGACCCCATGCCACAGGGGGTCACATCACACGTTTCAGCAGATATTGAATGTGTTGAGATAAATATAAAATTTTAACAAGATCAAGAATAAACAAGGATTATTCACGAACTAGTAAACGGCCCCCGTCAATTCCTTTAGACCAAGCCTTGGTAGAGCAAAAACGACAATTCCCTTCTTCACTGCACGAATCCAAAAATCTTCTGGTTGCAAAAATGAACAACTTAGATTAGCTCAACTGTCCCATCCCCAAAAATACGAATTTGGGAAGAAGAAAATTGAAACTCTTTCGCATCTAAAAGGGAAGATAACAGACGAATTTTTAACATGTCAGAAATGCTCTCAGCAAGGGAAGTTACCACGAGATCCTTGTTTTTTGGATGATTTTTGGTTGAAAACAGAACCTCCTGTATGATAAAAAAAATAAGCTCGTAAAGTTTCACTGAGTTAGGCTATTGGTGAACTATTGATACTTTTGTTCACACGGTACCAAACAACATGAGAAAACATATAATGCATCAATATAACACATCAAAGTATTTCAATGATAAACTGAAACCAGCATTTTCTAAGACTTCAATGCTGTAAGAAATCTCATGATACATACAATAAGAGAAGTTCAAGAACCACGTGTAAAAGCAGCAAATCTATATGTTTCTACATTTGTGTGCCTCTCAGAATTCATTACAACAAATCGTTACGCGTTGCATGTCACGATTATTCTTCTTTGATGTATCTCTCTCACTCCCGCCCTTTTCCAAATTGTCATTCTGTAAACAAGTACATACCAAAACTAAAAAAATAAATTACTCGGCGGATGCATTGAGTTTCTCATCATAACCTGCCCTCTCTCAGAATGTACAGATGTCCACCATTGCAATTTCAGAGTAAAAACATAGAATGCTAGAATTTGTTCTTAATCACTGTAGCCTTATCAAAATAAATTTAACATTTACATTTGTGCATTCAGTTATTTTGTGCTGTGCCAGAACTTGAGTAGATAACACACAAAAAATCTGCAATAGAGAACAAAGGAAAATGTTTTGAACATCTTAAACAAAAATGCAGTAGGAAAGCATTTCCATAGAACGAATGCCAACAAAATATCAACCTACAGAAAACAAGACCTTCAGTGTCATGAAAAGAGAACAAAGAAGTCATCATGTCCTACCATTATGATTTGATATAGAAGGGAAGACCTAAGTCAACACAGACACTTGTAAGCCAAAATCCTTCATTGCACTCCTCAGCTGTGGGAAAGAACTGCAGAAACCAAAATAACAGTGGTTGCTAAACCAAGTCATACAAGAAAATTTTCTCCCATGGATGAATCAAAGAATTTGTTGTTGCTGCAAATCAAACCTTTAAGAATAGAAGAAGTCTACATATCATCAATCCTGTCCTTGCCATGCCAGTTTTACAATGAACAACTACCACATTTACAATGTCCTCCTTCAACCATGAGTACATACTTTGACAAAACAATTTTATAAGCTCAATAGGAGGGCAGTTGGGGTCGTCAAATGGAAAAGATGCAACCTGCATCTATGAAAAAGAAAACTATATACCATATAGTCCAATATAAAGTAACTGCACAAAGTTAACATAGACTGTATTGTCAGTGGCCAAGAAGCAAGGAGCCAGCAGGGCCATGTAACAAAAATTAAAAATGAAGAAGATGAACTAAAAAAGTCATGTTGAATGAAATCTCTCAGATTTTTAAAACAGAAATTCGAAAAAGTCCGTGATGTATCTAGCTGTACCAAGTACATAGGCTGATGTTACCGGTGACTATCAACTAGTGCAACAAAGTGATCCAGTCATTTTTATAAAATCATACTAGAGATGGTATTGAAAACATTTGAAGATTTATCCAGTGCCACTTGTAACCCAAGCTCTAGTGAACTTTTGAAATTGCAAAAGATCAATTCAGAACACAACTGTTCTTCAAACGGTGAAGCGTCGTATAACCTCTCTGAACAAAGGTGTACGCTTTGTATTTCCCTGCATGAAACAATTTCAGATAGAAAATGTTACAGACAATGGGAAGACGCCCAGGATGTAGGCATAAAATACTATAAGAACCAAAATCATATCGCAGCATCCCACATGCAGATTAGGTGGAAGCACGGAAGCGCGACCGCTTATATAGGCTATACAGGACATCAATTAACTTAGGCTTGCCATGATGAGCCACATTTATATAGACCTAAGTAGTTTATTGATTGGTCATGTTCCTAGGCATTCCTCATCGATCTGGTCCGGGAAGAGACAGGGGAAGCCAACTCCTCGGTTCTTATGTGCATGAAATCCAATTAGATGTATACTAATAGCGATATCCCATGTCCAACGCAGGTTGATTGTAAAATCCCATCTCCTATATCGATGGAAGTGTATAAATATCATCAGCAATAGGGCTATCAATGAACTTGGATCACCATTTGCAGCCACGCTACTTTGATTTGTAGTTGATTGATGGATTATGTGGTGAATTACATTCACGGTCTTCTTCCATAGGCCCAAGACATGACTGATACACTGCATAAACCATATGATGGTAAGCATGTTCAAGTTACAGTACCCAAGTCACCTCCCTAACTTAAAAACTCAGCTTAATTCAACCACACCATATCCCAAGTACCCACCTCTTTAGGTACGTCATTCCCAAAACAATACTTTCTGGAATACTGTTGAGAAAACAAATCTTTCACCAAAAGATTATTAACATCTGTTATTCACAGAAATCAAGAACAAGGCTCCTCCACAGCCCAGGTAAGCTTCAACAGTTTCAGACATGATGCATAAATATTTCCCTCATATTGAAATTTTTTTTACCTACAGCTTCCAATTTTTTATATCCAAAGAAGTTCTTAATGGAATTATCAATAGCAATACTATCATAGCATGGCCTCATTTAGGAATACTAAATTGTACCTGGAGCAATGATCACCATCATAATGTTAACAAATGTGCGGTCCTTGATGCCCTATGATGAGTCTCAAAAAATTTAATCACTTCCTCCATGTGATTCTTATAGAAACCCTACATCATGTTTCAAAGACACTATTAGGAAACCGAATAATAAAATAACAAAACACAAAGTGTAACGTGAATTACAGATTTTTACCTCAAAAGTATCCAAATAAACCAGAACTCAGGTCACCAGCAGGGAACCCCATAGCAATGATATTCTCAGTAATTTATATCATATCCAAATCAAATCCTTCCTCCTGAAGAGAGAGAGGCAACACATTATTATTTTATATGACTTTATCACCGTCAAACATCTAAACCCAGAAAGGAGAGATTTTCAACATAAGGTGTCAAATAGAATATTATGGTAGCACATGAGCTAATGGAAAAGATGATACTATGAGGTGAAAGATTAGAAATTAGATACTATGCATGATGAATGCTATATTTCCATTTTTTTCACCAAAAGTAACAAAATGGTATTTAATCATGACCAAAAGATATGCTCCTTTGTCCACGCTAATCTGAACAAAATCATGACTGTTCAGATAGATATAATCTTATTTTTCTCTCTCCAAAAGTAAAAGGGTATACAATTAGTTAATCGTGAAGCAAGAAGGGATTGTAGTACGAGTCCAACCAAGTGTGCTTGTGATTAAGGTTGTGGCTCTTACATCAGTAAATTCTGTCTGGAAAAATTACATCAGTAGTTTGGCAACCATGTAACAACAAACTTGAAATAGAGATCCAAGAGCCAGCCAAGCCATAGATTTGGAACTGCAGCTGCAATTTTCTCAATTTTGATAAACCGATAAAGTTACCTAGAGAAATTTATGACTATTTTGGTCTTACTCCAGCTTTCCATATAATATATTCTTTCTTCAGAGAAAAATATACTGAAGGTCATATAAACACAATTGACTAATGAGCGTGTGTCAAGCTAGCGTTCAATTTAATGAATTCTTTCTTATTTCAAAGAAAAATATACTAAAGGTCATATATAAGCACAAATGACTAATGGGCATGTGTCAAGCCAGTGCCCCATCATGACATAGTTTTCATCAATGCGAAGAACATTGCACTATGAAATTTTGGCCAAATAACATTGCATATGAAACCAAAGAAAATTCCAGCAGGACGCATAGTTTACTAATTACCGAGACCAATAAGTTCTCCTGTATAAATGCCAAATGGCATTATTACTTCCTGTATTCCTAGATATCAAAATCACAGAGATCATTAAAGGGAAAGAGGAAAATGACAACAAAATGAAAAGAAAGAGTAATGAAAAACCTAACATAAAAATGGAATGAAATCAGTTCACAGAGACTTCAGTGTTGATTATCTTAAATGCATGCCCATTATACATAATACCTCATGCTTGGTATCATGAAAGAAAAGTCCTCTAACGAGCTAGCAGCTGCGAAGATTATTGATCCACTTGTTTCATTTGCACTTCAATGTCTGGTTGTTTGTGAGGCAATGTGATTATGTAATTTATAGACTAGCCATACTTAATACATATTGAAGCGAAGATAAGAAACAGCCACATAAAGGTGGGTGAATTAAAAAACTACGGGCCAATGACGATGTCTAAAATGAACGTAATTGCCAAGAGATAAATAGAATCTCTCTACGTAAATTATACAGATAGAGTAACAGTTCAACTACCTGGTATCTTCGCTTATTTTGTGAGATAATGTGCTGTGTCCTTACTTGCACAGCCTTCACAGCATTTAAATATGCATTAACTATTCCATTGGCGAAGGTTCCAACTTCCAAAAATGCCTGATTGTCCAGCTGCAGATTTCTTTTCAGTACTTGTCATCCACATTTGAAGGCACTGGAATCCAAGCCCATTGCTGAGTCATGACAAATATATTATCTCAGCATTTCCAGTCTGTGAATCCTGTTGCATTTGTGGAAGTTTAAAGCTCTTGGCCCAAGAAGATATGGCAGATGTAGGCAACATAGAAGTGAATTGTGTGCCATACTTTCTTTTGCAGAGACGACGGAAGGCGGAGGTGCAACATCAGAAAGTTTACCAGAAGGTGATGGTTCTGGTAATGAAGATGCATGAGCAGTTTCAGAATCCATTCTGATAAACAGAGCAAGAAGAAGAAAATCCCAATACAATTTAGCTTAACCACCAATGAGAAGGTCACATGGAGAAAACAAATTCCAGTACATTCAAAGCAATTATTTTGCAGAAGTTTGTTATCAATAACAAACATGGATATATAATCGAAGAATACTACATTTCGCTTCCATCTTATAGTGGCATCGACCGATGAAAAAAAAAAGGGCATCCGTCCTTGTATTTCAATAATGTTTTCACACCCTTCTTCAAATATACACTATGAATCCTCGTACACCTGGTAGGTGCTGTCAGTTTAGAACTTCATTTCAAAGTGATCATCATTGGTTAAGTACGTATGAATCCATTTTTATGTTCAGCGAAAGCTTACATTTTGCTTCCCAGCTACAAGTTTTAAGACTAAATCATCACAAGGCACATTTTTTAACTGACAAGTCCTTTCCTTTTCTCTTCTTATTCTGTAGAAAATACTCTGCAAATTCAGAACTAATTATTTCTTACGAGGCTTAGCTTTAACACGTACTAATTTTATGAAAATTACTTCATTTAATCATTCGTATAAGTTTCCACAGCGCTCCTACATTTTCTAGAGACAATTGGTAAATGTATATCCTGCATCGTACACAAACAAGTGAATGCGCATTATTAAAGTGTTAAGTAGATATATCAAGCTGCGTTCTATTTTGAAAGTAAATGGGGGGAGAAATCTAACCGCAAACGCCTGTAGAGGTTAGATCGATTTCAACAATGGTGAAAGTGTGAGCAATTAAAGGCATAAATCAGAGATGAAGGGATCCTAACCTCGATTGAAACTTCCGTTTAATTTCTTTGAAGCTTCTTAGGATTCTGATTTTCAACTGAGTTGACTGACTCAGTCTATTTCTGTGTAGTTTATTTGCAGCAATGGAGTGAGATCGGAGATGGTTTCTAACTGCGGCTGGTTTCACGAATCACGATTCTTTTTTACGTCCCGCGACTATTTTACCGCTCAACGGCTATTGATTTGGTGATGACGTGTCGGTCCAGTATCTGAGTAAATTTTAAAGGTTAAATATTAGGGAATATTGCAGTCCGATCCCTAATTTTTAAAATATGTGACAATAAAGTTCCAAAACTTTTTATTTATACTTGGGGTTCCGAACCTATTAAAAAGTGACCAGCACTCTCTAGCTGACGGAAAATGGCTACTATTATTTCTTTTTATCAGTGGGAAACGGTTAATATTTTTTTTTTTTGGTCGGTAAATGTGTAATAAATTGATAAAAAATCATGTACATATACATGGAATATACCCAAACAATAAAAAATAAATTACAAATATAAGTATATTGGACATACCCAAGCAACCAAAGATCAAGTGCATAGACAATTACATTGGGCAAACAAAAAGATCTAGCAACCTAACGCCATAGACTCAAAATGAATCAAAATATAAGGATACAACGAAAACATAACTTTGTATATATGTGTTTTAATCCGTCTAATAATGATATCAATCTGCGGGGTAAGGTCCTCAAAGTCTTCTTGTTTCGAGCTGTCCATAAATGGTAAATAATGCTAGCAAGAGCAATCTTCTTAGCATTACTATGACAAGTTGTCCCTCGAGCCTCCTTTTTAATTCACTTCAATGCACTAGGGATAGTAGACATAAAGTGTCTAATGCCAAGCCATGCACGGATCTTCCCCCCAAACGTGTGCACTAAACCGACAGGTGAAAAATAAGTGATGGTCCGTCTTTGTCCCAATTCCAAAAAAAAATTGCAGTTTAAGTCAATCTCCAAGTGCCTTAATTTATCCTTACTTAAAAACTTAGACATAGCATCAAGCCATAAGATAAAAACATGTTTAGGGGTATGAAAGCATTCAAAACAGTTGTTGTCCGGGCTGTGCGCAGTCCCTTTGGCCTGAAAAACTCATATACGGCTGAAACGCAAAACTTGCTTGAAGTCGTCCAATTGCACATCACATCCCTTCAGCCTAAACAGTATGTTCAAGCCGTATAATCTGATCATGCACTTCTAGTCGCTTTTTAATCAGTGGAGAGTCTTATTTTGTAGCCTTGTACTCCAAGTATCAATCCCATGAATTTTATTTTTTTGATTTACCCACTTAATCCAAAGTGTCTTTCTTGCTATGAATGTTTCAAAAAGTTTTAGCAAGAAGTGCCAAGTTCCAACATTTTACATCCCTAAATCTAAGACCTCCCTCATGTTTTTGTAAGCAAATACTACTCCAAGCAATCAATTGCCTTTTAAACCCCTATAGAAAATTATGGCAAAGACTAACAATTTTTTATGCAATCGTGACCGGAATTGGTAGAATAGAAAGCCAAAAATATTCCGCACCTTTGTAGAACGGATCTCACTAATTCCACTCTCTCTACATAGGATAAAGGTATCCTAGACCATGCTCCAACATAAATCAAAATTTTGTTGATAAAGGAGTCATAAGAGCTAATTTTCAACTCCTTCGCCGCAAGTGTTATTCCCAAATAATGAAACGGCATAGATGCCTTTGCCATATTAGTTAACTAATAGATGTCCTCCAACTCTTCTCCATGAACTCCTACCGTATATAAGTTAGACCTGTTCACGTTCATCCTTAATCTTGACATGCCTCCAAATTTAGATAAGCACGACATCAAGATACCATCCAAAATAACATCCCCTCTAGCATAAAGCAAAATTATCCGCAAATGCTAAGTGAGTTATCTTCAAAGGGCCGCATTTAGGATGATAATTAAACTCACTATTCTTGGTTGCTTCCTTTAGCATTCTAGAGAAATATTCAAGGCAAATACCAAACAAAAATGGTGGTAGAGGGTTACCTTGACGAAGCCCCCTCCTTCTCTTTATGAATCCATAAAGGCTTCCATTAAACGCTATGGAGTAAGTAGCGGTAGTATTGTATTCCACCACCCAAGCAACGAATTTTGTTGGACATCCAAGCCTTTCAAGCACCATTCTCATGAAATCCCAATCAACCGAGTTATATGCCTTCCTAAGATCAATTTTGAGAAGGCATCTAGGAGCAACTCTCTTCCAGTTGTATTGCTTAAGAAGTTCTTGACCAAGGTGAATGTTTTCCATCATGCTTCTACCTTTCATAAACATGGCTTGTGCTTCATCAATAATAGTACCAAGAGTAGGGCCCAAACGAGAAGCAAGGATCTTGGTAATAACCTTATAAATCATATAACAACACGCAATGGGCCTATAGTCTTCCACGGTGGTCACATGATTAGCTTTAGGCGCCTAAGCAATGATCGTGTGATTTATTTGCTAAAGAAGTGAGCTAGAATTAAAGAATTCTTTGATCGCTCCTAAAAATTATCCACCAATAATACTCCAAGACTTTTTGAAGAAGCAAGATAAATAACCATTCGAGAAGATTTATCATCTTCAATAGAAAATAACGCATCTTTGATCTCTTGTTTCGTGATGTCCCAGATTAATGCCAAGCTTTGCTCTTTCGATAACACGGAACCACTCGTTAATATATCAATGTCAATCGGTTCTCCGAGGCTATTTTTCACTAGTAAGTCATCGTAGAATTGTAAGAATTCATTGGCCACTTCATCTAGTGAGGAAGTAAACAAACCATCGCCTTTACGCACTCTAGCAATAAAATTATTTTTAGCATTCATCTTCACCATTTCGAATGAAAGAATTTGGTGCATTTATCAATATTCTTTAGGTACTCACATTTAGTCTTTTGGTAGTAAAAACTCATTTCCGCTTCACAAAGATCCATAGCTTTTTTCCTCGTGCATGCCACACTTCTTTGAATATAAAGTGCTCTCTATTTTAAAAAGTCAACCTTTAAAATCATATTTCAAGATACTTTTTAAGTCAACATTTCAATTGAGAGAGTGAGTTTGGCTCTCTATAATTAAATGCATTCAAAAATTTTCAATTTTTAATGTAGGAAAATAATAACATAATCCGGAGAAAAGCTAGTTAAAATTTTCTTTAAATTTATAGATGTTCTCAAAATAATAAAATATACTCTTTAAAAGTAGAGAATAGGTGGTGGCACAACTTTTACAGGTGAAGGCAACTACCATTGATGGTAAAGATGGGAGGCAGAAGTTGTGCGTACATTTAGGAAAGACGAGAGGGACAACAAGGGTGCACTTGTCATTTTATAAAAAAATAAAATAAATAAATAAATTATTTTAAGAGTGGCTACGTTACACTACATATTTTTTCTTTCTTTCTTTCTTTTTATTTGTACAATCATATTTTTTTAAAATAACAATAAGTAAAGTGACATAAATAACCACGAACACCCATGTGTTGTTTTTTCTTCTCTTTCATCATTTCTATGTAAACAACTTCAAATCCTAATTTGTACAGTAGAACTTAAAACTGAAATTAACCCATGTGGTTTTTTTTAAATCCTCATTGGCTTTACTCGTGATTGAATGTACGTGGTTGTCTTTAACTTTTTTGAAGTGATATAACTGAATATCTTTGTCACCTTGGATTTTGACTATGTGGGTATCTTTTGTTTTTATCATTGAATTCTTCAAAGAAAATAAAAATAGATAAAGATGACCATAGATAATTAAAATTGACAAGTATGTTATAGAATAAGTAGAGGAAAAGAGTTTTGGAGACTATTGTATGCATAAAGAATGGACAAACGTAAAATCAACAGTGGAGAGGGAGTTTGATAATAGACTTGAAACAAATTATATTACTAATAATATTAAAAAAAAAAAAAAATTATCATCATTTATGTTTGCTATTTTTACGTGACAAAACCTCCAAATATTTATTAATTAGTCATGAATTTATCTGGCACAACTTGTCTTGAATTGAGTTAGATGACTTATTGAACTATAATTTATTTATTATTTTTGTCTCGAATCTTGCTTGACACACACTATAAATGTAAACCCATATCAAAGAAATGTGAAACTTGTAATCATGACACGTCCCAATTTACACTTGACGTCTAATTAAGTTCAAGTTTGACAACCTTTAAAAATTTAAATTGTTTGTTATAGTAACATTCTCCACACACATTTACATAAATGAAATATTTTGCCCCTCGAGTCATATTCCAGTGGTGCAAAGGACAATGACAAGGTATATTCAGTCTTGCTGACAGTCGCAGTATGAGGGTTTGATTCTTGAAACATGGATTGGAACTCTTTGTGGGCACCAGTGTATAGGCAATTCTTATTCTCTTGCCTGTTGGGGCACATCCTACGATTAACCCCTCTCACGATACTTTAGCGGCGGGGCGGTGAGGGACTCTTAAGGTTGAGGTTCAACCTTTTTTTTTAAATAAAATATTTTACACATAAATCAATAAAGTTTTCTTACTTTTTAATCATACGTTTTTCAAAAAATACTATTCAAATCTTTTTAATTTTCAAATAATGAGTGACAAGAGGGCCTAAAAGTGTTAGATTAATTAAATGAACCATATACCGTCATTATAGGGACGAATTGATGATTTCTAAAACTTTAGGGATTACTTCGAGTTTTACCAAATATGTAAGGACTAAATGAAAATAATTTCTTTTCGGTTTTCCCTTTCGAGCTAGTTCTCAACCATGAGGCTCCAGACTGCACACAAACTATCTACCAATTATCATGGATCCCATACTGGGCGGTTCCGCCTCACCTGCCGACGATATTAACTCAGCCGCTCCCGCCGCCGCCGCCGAGTCACAGTGGGCCTTCACACAGCAGTACCATCACCTCCTGGACAAGTCTACTCCGTACGTGCTCTACCGGTGGATTGCGTTCCTCTTCATCGCATTCGTGTATCTGTTGCGGGTGTACCTGATCCAAGGGTTTTACGTGGTGACCTATGCACTCGGCATCTACATTCTTAACCTCATCATCGGGTTTCTTTCGCCACAGGTCGACCCGGAGTTCTCAGACGGTCCGACCCTCCCCACTCGAGGCTCCGACGAGTTTCGACCTTTCGTTCGCCGCCTTCCAGAGTTCAAATTTTGGTGAGTTCTTTTACGTTGCCGTTTTGACTACTTCTGGTTTTATATTTTTCTTAAATTTTTTGGTAATTTTTCTTCGAGCATCTGAAATTTGGGAATTTAGTGCAAATTGGGATTACAAAAATAACCTGAAATGAAACTAAAACTTTTAATACAAGAAGTAGCTAAACACTGGATATTTTTTGAGTAAAATTCACTGGGTGAAACTTTCGTTTATGGAGAAAGATTTTACAGGAAGCGTTTCTAACATTATTGGTTGTTCGTATATATTATACTTGTTTACTTTTAGAAGAAGGAGAACTTCTTTTAATGGGCATTATGATTGTTAATCACGAGGTTGAACATACGGTAAGGGCTATTTGTTCTACATAAAGATGCGCTTTTTTAATCGGTTGAAAGTTTTACACATCAGCGGAGGTTATTGAGAAGCCCCTTTTAAGTATTTTTAAATTTTGCACTCATTTACATCTAGAAAAATGGCTTGAGCATTTTTTATGCACAAAATATTACGTTTATACTGTGCATTAGAATTTTATTCATAAGGCTGATTTTTCTATTTAAGTCTGGGTGAGTAGTTCAATATGATATAAGTGTTTCTCGTTTTGAAGGAAAAAAGGGCCTTTTTTGGGTTCATTTTCTGCACTTCCTGTGATTACATCTCTCTGTAGTACAATAGAGCAGTGCTATTATTTCTGTTGTCATTAGTTGTACTCACGAGTCACGATACATGTCATTATATTTAATCTGCATTTTAATTGAGCGCTATTGTTAAAAACTATAACTAATATCTTGATAAGCGTGGAGTATGCTGTTAGGTCTTAGGATCGATTATTCACACAAAAGTATTTTGGAAAACAAGTAAATTGCAGAAAGTAACAACGCCAAGGAATTTTCGCCTCTTAGGGCCTGGATTTTCAGCCGAAACCTGGTCACTCATTCAGCATCGAGCATCTACAAAGTAAATTTGGCTCAAATCTATTAAGAATCACAAAGAATCGATACAAAATATATGAAGAAACCACAATTTCTTCACTTGAGTTTTCTTTCGCCTCCCTTTACAAAGAAATTGCTTCCTCACAATCTCTAAGTTGTATACAAAATACAATACAAAATCATTAAGACTTTTACAGAGATTGAAAATAAAAAACACGATGCAAAAAGATCTCTCAAAGGAGACGGAGAGAAATCCCTAAAAATTGAGGCTATTCGTGCCAAGAAGGGTCACAGGAGGCTTTTATAGTCCAACCAAGGAGTCTAAATCCAACGGTCACAGCAAGACCAGATGTAGGGCCAGCAATCAATCCACAATTTAGAGAAAAAGGCGTGTTACTAAAAATGTGTTTTACTTAAGGATAACAGTGTGGCCCAATGACAATAAGAATTGGCCCGATTCAAGAATACAAAGGTAGCCCACAACAATCTCCACCTTGTCGATCTATTATTGGGGGTTCGTTTGTGGATTCAAGACCATCTACTTGTTTCATTTGCACAACAAAACTTGTAAAAAGATACAGTTAGTTCATATTCAAAATTAAAGCAGAATAAAAAAATTGTAATTGTATCTATTACCTTCAAGATATGTTCAGAATTTTCAGACAATTTCTGAACTTGTTTAGAGGCAAAACTTTAGTACCAATATCAGAAGGATTAAATTCAATTGGAATTTTAACTAGGTTAATTAGATCCTTTTCAACCATATTTCTAGCAAAGTGAAATATAATGTCAACATGCTTAGTCCAATCATGACATACAGGATTTCTGCTTAAATGAATTGAACTTTGGTTATCTGTATAAATTCTAACAACTTCATTTATAAAATCATTTTCACTTAACAAGCCCCTTAACCATAATTCTTCTTTAACAGCATCACATGATGCAATATACTCAGCTTCTATAGAAGATAAAGCTACCAGTTTTTGTAATTGAGACTTCCAACTAATACAACAATCACAAAGAGTAAACACATAAGAAAAAGAAGATCTTCTTTTATCTAAGTCACCTGCAAAATTAGAATCTGTATAACCCTTTCAAATAACACCTTCATTACATCTTTGAAATTTTAATCGCAGTTCAGTTGAGCCCTTTAAGTACCTAATCATCCATTTTATTGCTAACCAATGAGTTTCACCTGGATTAGTCATAAATCTACTAAGAATACTTATTCCATGAGCTAAATCAGGTCTAGTGCATATCATAAGGTACATAATAGAGCCAAAATGATTAGCATAAGGTATTTTACTCATTCTATCATACCCTTCATTAGTTTTCGGGGATTGTTCGCTAGAGAGTTTGAAATGATTTGCTATAGGTAAGGTCACAGGTTCACTTTCAGTCATAGCAAAATTTTCAAGTAATCTTATTTGCATAAGAGTTTTGATTCACCTACAAAATACAGTTCTTTCTATCTCTTTTAATCTCCATGCCTAGAATTCTTTTTACATGTCCTAAATCTTTCATTTCAAATTTAGTTTTAAGTTTTTCTTTAACAGAATTAATTTCAGATCTATCATGACAAGCAATAAGCATATCATCAACATATAATAAGAGAGAGAGAGAGTCAGGTCCTCTTGACCCTTTGAAGAAAAAACAAAAATCAAAATTACTCTAAAGAAATCCTAGATTTTGAACATAAGAGTAAAATTTCTTATACCATTACCTGGGTGCATGTTTCAATCCGTAGAGTGACTTTTTTAGCAAATAGACCTGGTCAGATTTTGGGTTGATTTCAAACCCCTTTGGCTGATTCATATAAATGGTTTCTTCAAGGTCACCATTTAGGAAAGCAGTCTTAACATCAAACTGGTCCAATTTCTAGTTGAAGTGAGCTGTCAAAGTTAACAGACTTTTGATAGAAGTGTACTTAGGCCTGGGCGTGGGTCAATTCGGTTTGGTTTTAAAAAGAACTAAATCGAACAAAAAATTTTCGAGTACTTAGTAAATGGAACCGTCGGGTTCAAATATAATTATGGAACCGTTCGGGTTCGGTTCCGTTCGGTTCGATTCAGTTCCATATTATAATTAAATTTTTTAACATTTATAATAACACTATATAAATACAATTAATGATACATTCAATTGTAGTTTTACAAATTAACATAGTCCAATTTAATAACATCTAAATAACAAGTTGTCCAACAAGATTAATTCACTAACTCATACAAATACCAAAAAGTAAATACTAAAACGAAATCTTCGATAATCCATTCAATGGTTCCTTTGCTTTAAGCTTTAAGTCTACATAAAAAATGAAATATAAATTAAAAGTTATAGAGAAAAATATTTTAAAGTATTACTAATACTTAACAACTATTTGATTTATCCATCAATTGCTTGACTTGTCATACTCACTACTAAGAAACTCTACAAGAAAAATTTGAAAAAACACAATTAACAAACATAAATAAATTAAAAATTGTTCAACTAATAAAATTTAATAAGAAAATTTATAACATATATTTTATTACTTGTCTCAATGCCCTCATAGAACTTCGTCTCTTCAATGCAAATTCGATCTTGGGAAACTCTCAAAAGTCTAGATTCTTCCTTTAGCCAGTTTTGTTAAATCAAGGCTTCAATTGTTTTAGGAGTTAAAGAACTCCTAAATGGATCTAGAATGCGCCCTCCAGTACTAAATGCTGACTCAGAAGCAACTATAGATACAGGAATGGCAAGAACATCCCTTGTAACCTCAGATAAAATTTCAAATCTTGATTTATTGATCTTCCACCAATTTAAAATGTCAAAATTTCCATCACTAGCATCTTCAGTGGGTTCTATTAGATATCTTTGTACTTCATCTTTTCTAGAAAAATCCATTTTGGTAGTTTTCAATTTCTTGTACCCAAAATCAAAATTGCAATCATCTCAATCATCATAATCATTTGAACCCTCCAACAAAGTGACGCCATAATTAGATTCATCACCCCCACTTCCACTTCCACTAGGTCCATTGTTTGAATGATGCCATCCCTTATGTTGGTTATACAAAGCATACAATAATTTCACGGTCTCATTTTTTGTAGCTTCAACTTTAACACTGTCATATAAGATACCAATGTAATGTTCAACAAACTCCAACTTATACCTCGGATCAAGTACGACTGCTACAATCAAAATCTTGTTCACTTTATCAACTTTTCCCCAATACTTGTCAAACTTAATCTTCATGCTATTTGCTATACTACTTAGCAAATAATCTTGCTTCTCACCCATTTTCTTCAAAATTTGGTCGATTTTACAAACTTCGTGGAAGTAAATATTGGAAGTAACATTCAATGGAGTACTAAACTTCAATATGACTTCATAAAAGGTTCTTAAAAACTTGACAAATTTTTTAGCTTTCTCCCAACCATAATTTGTAGGTGGTCCCTCTTTTTCTTTTCCACCTTCATTCTCATCAAAATATTTAAAATAAAATCCATCATCTTCCTCCATTCTTTCAAAAGCTTTCTTCAAATTCAATGCACTATCTAACATTAAGAATGTTGAATTCCATCTAGTAGGAACATCTAAAATTGCAAGTTTTGTGCATGCAATTTTTTCCCCTTTAATACAACATTTAAATTTCGTCAACCGGGAAGGAGATGATTGAAAATATTTGACCGCATTGCGAATACTTTCTATAGATGGATTAAACTCTTTCAACCCTTCTTTAACAATCAAATTTACTATATGTGTTGAACAACGTACGTGCAGATAAGAGCCACTTAAAATCATAGTATCATCAAGTTTCCAATTTTTCAACTCGTTTTTCACATAAATAATTACTGCATCATTTGTGTTTGCATTGTCTACAGTAATTGTACCCACACACTCTATTCCCTAATCAAGCAAACACTTCTCAATAAACTTCCCAATTGTCTCCCCTTTATAATTTGGAACCACAGAAAAACTCAATATCCTCTTATACAGTTTTCAACTTCTACCAATAAAGTGTACTGTGACTACCATTAATTGATGTGTTGAATTGATGTCTAACAATCAGTGGTTAAAGAAATTCTTTG